TAGCCAACATGATAATGTAAGAAAAAGAAGAAGAAGAACAAATATTGGAGAGAAAGAAGTTGTTATTAAAAGATGACATGATTATACATATGGAAAATCCTGAGGAATCTATAAAAAAATTAGACTAGAACTAATGAGAAAATTTCTCAAGTTTGCAGGATACAAAGTAAATATGCAAAATTAATTGCATGTCTATATGTTATTAACAATTAGAAAATAAAATTAAAAAATAACAATAACAGCATTCAAATGTTCATTGCAAGAAATTAAACAAAAGATGCATAGGCTCTCTACCCTGAAAACAATAAAACATTGTTAACAGAAATGAGACTATCTAAATAAATTAAAATATATGTCACGTGTAATTATTGGAATATTCAATATTTTTAAGATGTCTATTCTGACCAAATTGACCTGCAGTTTTAATGCAATTCTAATGAAAATCTCAGGATATTTTTGAATAAATTGACAAGCTGATTCTAAAATTACTATGAAAATGCAAAAAATCTAGGATAGCCAAAATAAAAGAACAACAAAGCTGGACCTACACTCCAGATTTCAAGATTTTTTTATAAAACTATAATAATAAAGATTATAAGGCATTATGGTTACATGACTATACTGGAAGGAACAGAATAGAGTGCCCAGATTAGACTCCAAAATACTCAGTTTATTGCTTTTTATAAAAGGTATCAAAAGAATTCAATGAGAAAAGAAAAATCTTGCTTAACAAGTAGTGCTGGATATTTTCATGGAAACCAAAGTTGAACCTAGGTCTTTTCCCTCATTCAAATACAAAAAACTATTTTGACGTTATAGTCATTACTGTAAGAGCTTCAACCACAAAGCTTCTAAAAAATACATAGCAAAAAGCTTTGTGATGACAGGGTATGCAAAGATATTTTAGGACAAATAAATGAACTAACCATAACATAAAAAATTGATAAATTGAATTTTATCCAAACTAAAATCTTTTGTTTGATCAAAGTCATTGTTAGAAAAATAAAAATGCAATCCACAGACTGAATGAAAATATTTGCAAAATATATTTGTCAAAGAATATCCAGAATATATAAAGAATACTAGAATGTTAAGAAGACAATTTAATTTTAGAAAGTAGACAAAATATTTGAAAAGATAGTTTAGAAAATAAGATATAAGAATTACAAATAAACACATGAAAAGATTCTCAACATTATTTGTCATTAAGGAATGCAAATTAAAGCTATAATGAGATACATACTTATTAGAATGGCTAGAACTAAGGAGACTGACAATACCAAGTATTAGCAAGAATATTGAGTAACTAAAACCCTTACACATTGCTGATAGAAATGCAAAACAGGAACTTCCAGCCTAGAGGGAGGCATAGGTAGATACACTTTGCCTCCTCACACAACCAAAAAAGGACAACAACAAATTTAAAAACAAAACCCACCATAACTACCAGAAAATTGAACTATATGGAAGTCTGACAACCAAGGAGTTAAAAGAAGAAACATTCATCTAGAACAGTAAGAGGGGTGGAGACAGGAAGCTGGGGTGGGGAGGACTCACAGGCAAGCCTGCAGCTGAAGAACCAGGTGAGGCAGCAGCTGGCAGAGTGGGCAGTTCCACATTTGCATTCAGATAAAACAGGAGGAATGACTAGGGAGGAAGACAGACCATGAAACCCAGGGTTCCAGCACAGGGAAATAAAGCCTCAAAACCTCTGACTGAAAAAACCTGGGGGGTTGAGGCAGCAGGAGAAAGTCCTAGCCTCACAGGAGAGTTCACTGGAGAGACCCACAGGGTCCTAGAACACACACAAACCCACCCACCTGGGAATCAGCACCAGAAGAAGAACCCAATTTGCTTGTGGGTAGTGGCGGAAGTGACTGAAAGGTGGCAGAGAGCTGAGCAAGCTCCATTGTTTCCTTTTTGACGCCTCCCCCACATACAGTGCCACCAGCAGTGACCTGGGTTGCCCCTCCCTGCTGAATACCTAAGGCTCCACCCTTTGCTATGTAACAGGAGCACAGAGATAAAAAAAATGGCCTAAGTGAAACAACAGATCAAACCTCCAGGAAAAATACAACTATGTGTTGAAGAGATAGCCAATCTATCAGATGCACAGTTCAAAACACTGGTAATCAGGATGCTCACAGAATTGGTTGAGTATGGTCACAAAATAGAGGAAAAAGTGAGGGCTATGAAAAGTGAAATAAAGAAAAATGCAAAGAGAACCAACAGTGAAGGGAAGGAAACCAAGACTCAAACCAATGGTTTGGAGGAGAAGGAAGAAAGAAACTTTCAACCAGAACAGAATGAAAAAACAAGAATTCAAAACAATGAGGAGAGGCTTAGGAATTTCTAGGACAACTCTAAACGTTCCAACATGCAAATCATAAGGGTGCCAGAAGGAAAAGAGGAAGAGCAAGAAATTGAAAACTTATTTGAAAACATAATGAGTACTTCCCCAACCTTGCAAAGGAAATAGACTTCCAGGAAGTCCAGAAAGCTCAAGAGTCCCAAAGAAGTTGGACCCAAGGAGGAACACACTAAGGCACATAAAAATTACATTACCAAAGATTATAGATAAGGAAGAATCTTAAAAGCAGCAAAAGGATGCAGTTACCTACAAAGGAATTCCCATAAGACTATGAGCTGATTTCTCAAAAGAGACCTTACAGGCAAGAAGGGACTGTAAAGAAATATTCAAAGTCATAAAATGCAAGGACCTATACCCAAGATTACTCTATGCAGTAAACCTGTCATTTAGATAAAATGCCTTGAAGATAAGGAGTTCATTATCACCAAGCCCTTATTATATGAAAGTTAAAGGGACTTAACTGAGAAAAAGAAGATCAAAAATACAAACAGTAAAATGACAACAAACTCACAACTATCAACAACTGAACCTAAAAATAAAAACAAACTAAGCAAACAACAATAGAAACGAATTCACAGAAATGGAGCTCTCCTGGAGGGTTATCATTAGGGATAGAGAGCCAGGAGAATGAGGGAAAAGGTACAAGAAATAAGAAGCATAAATGGTAGGTAGAAAGTAGACAGGGGGATGGTAAGAATAGTAGAAAATATAGAAGCCAAAGAACTTATTTGTATGACCTTGGACATGAACTAAGGTGAGCGAATGATGGTGAGGGGGGTACAGGGCAGAGGGGAATAAAGGGGAGAAAACTGGACAACTGTAATAGCATAATCAATAAAATATATTTTAAAATTTTTAAAAAGATGCAAAATGGTACTTCCTCTTCAGAAAATAATTTGATAGTTTCGTAAAAAATTAAAACTATATATATATATATATACATAATTCAACAATTCCAGTTCTAGGTGTCTATTCAATAGAAATATAAAATTTATTCATCCACACAAAGATTTATATGTAAGTGATCATAACAAAATTTTTCATGGTAGCCAAAAAAATATGGAACAACCTAAATGTCCATCAATGGAAAAATGAATAAACAAAGTGTAGTAAATCCATATAATGGACTATTACTTAAAACAAAAAGGAACAAACTGCAGATAAACACAAAATCATAGATGACTCTCAAAAACATTATTTGGAGCAAAAGAAGGCAGACACAGAAGGTATTATATACTACATTATTCCATTTATTTGAAATCTGAAAATAAGCAAAATCTATCTAAATTATAGAAATAAAAAAGTGGCTATCTCTGAAGTAGAACTGACAGTAATGAGGCCTGAGGGAAAATTTTTGAGGTGATTAAAACATTCTATATCATGTTTTAGGTGGTAATTACATTGGTATATTCAATTGTCAAAACTCATCAAAATGGACATTTCTTATGTGTGCATTGTAGTACATTTCAATTACACCTCAAAAAGGCAGTGGGGGGACAGACACTATCTCTGACACTTGAATGGGAACACAATTCCTAAGAGTTATAATCAGTGATGGGTTCAATTCCTTTCATGGCCAAAGTAGTTTTGGTTATGTCACTGAAATGTCTTAAAATGATATTATAAAACTTGTTTGTCTACACATAGGTTGATGCCTTGGGTGTGTATAAGTATTAAAAGTCCATGGAGGTTTGGAAAGTCATTTCATATATACTAGATTTATAGTAGTAAAAGGCTTGGTTTTGAACCAACCCAGATCTCAGTACAGATCGCTAATTAGTCATGTGGCCGTGGGCAAATTCCTAACCTCTCAGAGCCTCTCTTACTTCCCTTCCATGTAGAAATAACATAATCTGCTTTGACTTGCTGTTATTATAAAGACTGAATGAAGTCATGTATATAAAACCTTCAGCATAAGGCCTGGCACTAAGTAAATGATAGCTCTTTTTCATTACAAGGATATTAAATAATTTTATTTAGGACATGTCATTGACCATACAGTTAAACCATCACAATGCAGCTTGCCTTCAACCATCATTACTGAATGCTACATGATTTTAATAGCTGATTACAGCATATTATAATGGGGTTACTGTCTAATTTCTTACTGAATTAGGTAGAAGTGAAAAGGTTACAAAGGCCTTCTCCAAGCAGTAAAAGAAATCCTATTTCCCAAAGTGTGTCAGAGGAAGCTTCGAAAAGTGTTATTTTGGCAGAAGTCTTTGTAGTGGAAGAAGATATTTTGAGAAAGTGTGGGTTACTGTCAAATTGCCACAGAAAGTGCTGGTCATTTAGAATAGATGGTCTCAAAGGGGCTGGAGATGGGCACAGGTCAGCGGAACCTATAGTAAAAGACTAGGTCCCCTGGTCTGCAGAACATGGAACCAAGTTTGTCATATCTTGACCTACACAGGGCAACAGGTGCTGCAAGGACCCAATGCTAGAACCATGTACTAAGATGACTTCCCCTTGGTTCTGAATAACCCAGGCAACTGAGAAAGCTACTGAGATCCAACCAGGCAGGAGGGAAATGCCGGGGAGTGAGCAAGCTCCTGCCAAGTGCAGCTCAGAGAGGGGCTATCTCTATAGAAAATCAGTGTTCAAAGATGCCAGAGAATCATTTACTTACCTGCAAGGGTTGGCAATTTCTTCTGGTGTTGTTTTTATGAAAGGGGAGACAGGTTTTTCCACAAAAGAGCCGAAGCCCAGTCTAAAGTTGCTCGTTAATTTAGACATCTCCTTGGAAAGCAGGGAACCCAGCTCTTTGATTGTGTTGAGGTCATCATCCATGGAGGCCGAGAGGTCCATGAGGTAATACAAGTCCACAGGATAGTCCTCGGTCTGGCGGACTTGCACTTGCAGAGTCTGTTCACCACCTGCAAATACCCCACAAGAAAAGCAAATCCATAAATATGCATTGAGACTTGTTTGTGCCTGGGCCAGCTGGCTAGTTCATTTCAATAAGAATTTTCTGAAGACACTAATGATTTCATAAACTATGTGGCAAGGTTTATGAATGAATGAGCCCATGAAAATCTTTCAGCAGTGTGTTTAGAGCTACTGAAAGGAGTAAGAGTTAAGGTATTTTATATCTCCTTAGGAGAGCTGGCATCCATTTAGATGGGAGATAAGCTGAATTTTTTGTATGCGGTTTTAGAAAAGGAGAGCAAAATACAAAGGAGTTTAAAGCTACATTAAACTCTTGAAGAAATGTGAGGTAAACCTTAACAACACTGGAGAGATTCAAATGGTTACTATTAGATAAGGCTTTTTTAGTGACACGTCTGGAGTGCAAGTGACTAATACAAATAAAGAAAAGCAATTTTCTTTAAGATGAATGTGAACACATCTTTTTTTTAAACTTATTTTTCCCAAGGTGGGGGTAGAATTGAGGGTGGAAGGTGGGGGTGGGTGGGGCAGGGGAAAGTGGTGGCGGGAAAATGGAGACGACTGTACTTGAACACATCTTAAGAGTGCTTTCAGTTTCTTTGTAAAATAAATAGCCCTGGTAAGAAGTGTTCTGGAAAAAAAAAAGAAAAGAAAAGCAATTTTCTGTTTCCTAAAGAATGAGAAATCTGAGTGATTATAATCAATGATATTGTAATATGTGGGACAAGGTATATTAGCAGAACAGTGATATAACCACGGGACACTAGAATTATTTACATGATCCAGTGCACATGTAAATGATAACATACCTGGTCTCAGTTTAAGAATCAAGCTTTGAGGTGCAATCTGAACAATGTCGGAACTATTTTTCTGTCTGCCTACACTGAGAGGCTTGTTTATAAGTATTTCTACTTGAGAGACAGGGTTTTCGATGAAGTTCAGTTGACATCCTTTTGCAAGAAGATTTGCTGGGGTATCACACCTTTCACCAACTCCAGAAGGCTGGGTAAAATTCTAAAAAAGAAAAGCAATAAAAAGAAAAAAAAGACAAATCTTTATTTCTTCATAAGGTAAAATTTTATTCTGCCTGCTTTTCTAGTTAGGCAGCTTGTCATACTCAGAATATCATATCCCCCAATAAAAAATTTTAAAAAAGAATATCATATCCCTCACAGTAGAATAACCGGTGGAGTCTGCCATTAAAATCCTGAGAAAAACTGCATTCTTCTTTTAATTACATCTAGTTGAATTTACCTAACAGTTTTGTGGTTTTTAAAAAATCCTAGGACTGCCCAAGTGCTCAGTTTGTCTATTACCAAATCCAGCCTTTTCTGTGGATTTCTGCATCGCCTTATCTAGCTCTCCATCCTGGTTTAACTCATGGATGTGTCACCCTTAAGTTACAGCATAACTACATTGATGTTCACCTCTTGGAGACTTTAAACTCGGTGTCTTAAAGTGTTCTGTTTAAGGTCTTTTAGAACTTTCTCTAAGATCTGGAAGTGGGACACAAAATGAAAGAAAATATGGTGTAGGGGATTGCTTTTTGGTGTAAGACTTGGGAGTTGCTCAGTCCCCCTCTGATTCATGTGGGTAGAATGAGACGGAGAGATGAGTATTTCCAGGCAGAAATGTGGCCATTCCAAACTTGCAGTTCCTGGGGACAAGGGAAGTGGAGTGGAGAGAGACATACTTGTCTTACCTCATATCAAAGGCTGCTCTAGGGTTTGTGAACAGGCTCTAGCTAAGCAAGGTCAAACAAAGCCCATCGATTCTCATGTTTGGAAAGAGGCAAGCCAATGCTCCTATTGTTTGTCTCATTCCTTAGGATTCTAAGCCCTTGTTGCTATTTTCACTAACTGGGAAAGTTATATATCTTCTGAAATTGATTTTTGAGACTATAATTTGTTATATATCAGTCAGGCCTGTGCCTATTTGAGACACCAGGCTAGGCGTAGCCAACTACCTTTCATGATGTGTCTAAAGTAAACAGTGATTGGACGAGGCCTCAGAATCCTTCTCAACATGTCACTGCTACCACCTGTAGTTACCAACTCTGCCTAAAGATGAGTTGGTGTTACTCATAGGAGCTGGTTTTCTATCTGCTCAAAGTGGAAGGCTAATTTCTTTTTACTTCGACAGCCTCAACTGATACTACTACTACCAGTGGAGTAACTTTTTAGAATAATCTGGCTTTAAAATTTGACATTAACTGACTACCAGGTATCATCCACAACTAAAGCTATCAGTAGTAACTTAAGAAGCTCTCTTAAATGAATGCTAAAAGATGCATTAAAATAAAAATTCTAGAGGTGAACATTTTGTTAGACTTATTTCTTGTTTTATGTCTCTGACATGAAACTAATATTATCTTTTCCAGGGAGTCAATGTAAAAAATGTGGGTTTCCCCCTTTTTGTATATTCTCAAATCCACTTTTGATACATGCACTCAGAAAAGCATAACTGTCCAGGGGCTGAGTGAAAAAGTGAAGGGATTAAGAAAAGAAAAGGAGCCTCATAGATAGACAACAGTATGGCGATGACCAGAGGAAGGGGGTCGGGAGGTAGAAGAGGGTAAAGGGAGGATGAGGGGTGATGGAAGGATATTTGACTTGGGGTGGTGAGCACACAACACAATATACAGATGATGTATTATAGAATTGTTCACCTGAGACCTATATAATTTTATTAACTAAAGTCACTCCAATAAATTAAATTAAAAAGGATAAAAAAGCATAATTCCCTTGCACTGCACTTTTGTTTGTGCCTCATCAGCCAAAGCCCCTGGGGAGGGAGCTGGGTTTTCGTTCTGTGAGGTCCTCCTCCACAAACACACATTCAACTTGGGAGGCAGGTTTTAACAGTTCTAACCCAGTGAGCTGGGCATCCAGGTCTGTTCCCCTTGAGCACGCTGCCAGTCTTTGCTGAACTTGGCAGTGGCATGTCTTGATTTTTGTTTAGGTTCTACTTATGAGATTTGGTAGAGAAGTATTCTAAATCCATATAAAGCTAAACAGCTTTTTCTTACCAAGAATCATTTACAGGTTGCTCTCTAGTGTCCCAGGGGGCAGTGACTCAGGCTGCTTTGTAACACATTCCCTAGTCCCTCTTACATGACTTCCACATACTTGCCCCTTTGATGATGTAAGGAATGTCTATTCTGGGCTTTCTCACTGTGGTACAGTCACCAAGTTCATGGAAACGTAATATGTAACAGAACTGGATAATGTCTGACCAGTAAAGTTTACCCCAAACTTACAATTTTTCTCTTAGAACATGGCAGTGATTCCAAATGAATCCTGGTTCCCAGATTGAATACAACTATGGCACCAAAATCAAATATGAGTTTAACTTTAGAAAATACCATCTCCATGACCTCTGATGGCATTTGACATATAAGCAGCTAGAAAGGGCTGTAATGTGAGAGGAGGAATCAGCTTAAATAAAATATTCCGAGTTAAATATTTTTTCAGAACAATTTGACATTCACTGCCTCCTCAAATTGCCTTGGAAGGTAATCCTGTCAGTCACTACTTTGATCTCCTAATGCAAACATTTCTCCTTCTCTATTTGTTTCACTTCTATAACCCCATAGTAAACAGGATACTATCAGAACAATCACCAATGAAATCAGCATAAATGTAACTGCAGTTTTTAAAAAACACGTCGAGGTCATTTGTCTTACCTCCTGAGAACACCAGGCACACTGAGGTCCCATGAGTAAGCAGTCTTCACAGGTTTCTGCCCCTCCCATGGCACAGCCACCTGCATGTAAACCCAGCAAGATACGAGGGGTTCAGCACACTCTCAGTCACTGCATTTCTGAGACTTACGGCTCTTAAAATACTTGAGTGAAGCAATATCAAAGTTTATTTGTCTTCAAAGATCAGTCCTCAAAATGTGAGCAATTCATAAAGTTTACATTTGATGTCAAAGTTTATATTTGAAAATATATGTCTTATGAACCAAAATGATCAGTCTCTTTCTTCTTAAAATATGAAAATATTTCAATGTTCACAAATATAGGATTGTCATATTTATTGTCCTCATTCATTCTGATCCACTTTAATTTTTAAAACTTACACACATTTAAAAATACTTCTCTCTTAAATATAGTATAATTTTATTTTTAAAGTAAATCCCCATGCCCTCTCAAGGTTATTACTCTTGTACAAAAAAAAGTTAGTAAAGTTACAAAATGATTGCCACAATTGTATTCAGAACTTCTATTGCATAGTAATGCTATTTAATTCTTCTCATTAAAATGCACATGCAACCTTTGTATTTATTTACCTTAAGCCTAGCGCATTTGCTATGGGAACAGCCCTGTGTCTGCCTGTAATTTGTTAAAGCGTTCACTCAATGGCAAGAAAACAATCAAACAGATCAAATAAAAAGTGACTTCAGATCTAGTTTCTGAACCAAATGACAGGTTTGTCAAGCATACCACGAAAGCAACATGTTGCCGAGCTCAGGTCTTACCTTGTACGTGATCATTCCTTCCTAGAAATAGAAAGAACAGGCAAAGCAGTTCAATCCCCATTCGTTTCAGTTCTCGCTGTGCCGACAGATTAAAAAATGAATTAGCTTCAGCATTACAAGACCAAAGCTGAACATCGTTAAAAGTCTTTCTTTCTCGAAGTGTAAAATTTTAAATACTACTTACACTGTTTTGAAAAGAAACTTGAGATGTAAATAAAAAAGTTGAGACTGAAATGAAAACAGAGGCTACCTGGACAGGTAAAAAAGAAAAGCTGTGTTTAAAAGCAACTTCAACATGATTTACTTCCTTGTTCTCCTTATAAGGAAGGCAGGTGTACAATCACCAAGAAGGTGGAGAAATTCATTCAGTAGAAATTTTTGTGTAAATTCTACTAGTCTGTCTGCATCCTAGAGAGAGTCAGTACCTTTAGTGAAATATTGATCAGTGAAATTTCAAAAGAGGATTGAAATGATTTTAAGTTGTTTCTAAAATAATTTTAATTAAGCAAAAACAGTAAAGTTGATAAATAAAACACAAATATGTAAGTTATAGGTAAGGAGAATTTTTTTAAGTGAACAAAAGAAAAATACCTGAGATTTTTGCATTCCATTTTAAATCCTTTGCAGAGAATTGAAATGAGCTCTGAAAAATATAAATCATTATTTTACAGTCAATTTAGAAGGCAGGCTAGGGAAAGCAGAACATTATGTTCCCTTGTTTCTCAGATTAGATGAAAGATATTTTTCTATCAGTATATAAAATTCTGTATAAGTATATAGAATTCTTATTTTTAAAGTAATATTGGAAATAAATATGATAGATTAAGACTGAATAATGATGCCCAAGATTCTGAGTCCCTCTTCACAGGTACCAAGCGCCCTTTTTAATGGACTGTCCCAGCTCTTAGCTCGCCACTTGGAACATAGGAGGTGCTTATTTGTTGAACGGAAGAGTGACAAATTTAAAAGCTATACAATGTATTGCTAAATTCATTAGGTTGATTACATATATTTTCCTAATGTATTCAAGAAGATATTTTGGGATTTATGAGGACTACAAACAGATAGGAATAAAATATTCACTTTTCTACTCTCCAGACTGAAGTTAGGTGAGCTTTTTTTGTGTCTGGGCTTACATCCTGGGAGATTATCTTTTAAACATGTGTTTCTAAGGAAGCATATGAAACCCATGAGTAAAAGGAAAACTAATTATAAGTTCTTCTCAGAAGGCTATGTTCAATTTTGAACTCTATCATACAGAAGAACCTGGAAGAACATGGTAAGAATCCTGTAGAGAGAAAGCAGAATTATTAAAGAGTTGAAAGTATGCCTTTTGGGAGAAAAACACAGTTATATGAAATAAATTGATTTACTTTGAAGAAAAAGATTGATGCACAAATTATCTGTGTCCCTGATGCCACCTTGATTTTTGTATCCAGTATTAGTTTTTATTCATTTATTCATCCAACAAATATTTATGGAACATCTGCTTTGAGTCAAGTATTGTTCTAGAAGAGAGTATGTTAGTGAACAAACCCAAGCTCTTGCCATGTGAAACACTTGTATATTGTAGGATGGAGAGCAGTGGCAGAGAGACCAGGTCCTTAAAATCAGGCAGTGATAAGGGTTATGAAAAATTATAAAGCTAGGTGAAAGGAAGAGGGAGAGGAATGCTGTGTTATTTTATTTAGGACAGTCAGGGAGGACTTCTCTGCTGAACTGACATCTAACAGAGTCCATATATCCTGGGCAACAAAGTGCAAAGGCCCTCAGGCAGCTTCATGCTGAACATTTTTAAGGACAGTAGAGGATAAGGCAGGAGACAGAGGGTGATGGAAAATGAGGTCAGATCGAGAGGCAGAGGTTACGTTGTATGTAGTCTTGACCTTGAATTTTATTTTAAGTGTGTTGGAATGTTATTGGAAGGTTGAAAATAGTGGGATGATATTATTTCATTTACATTTTAAACAAATGATTCTGGCTGCCACTGAGGTTAAGATTGGAAGGAATTTATGGCTGTTCTCTAGGACAAAAAGGTAGGTAGTTACTACAAGGTAGTTAGGACTAGGATGTTGGTAATGTAGAAAGACAGGGGTGGTCAGATAAAATATAATTTGAAAACAGGATGTGCCTGTGGAAGAAAAAGAGATTTTTAACTTGAGTAACTGAGTATATGATACTTTTTCTTGAGAGAGGTTACTCTGGGGAATGATCAGTTCTCCTGTGGAGGACAGGGCTCAAGAACTTGTCAATTTTGAGATGTCTAGATAACCAAGTGAAGATGTCCTATGGGTAGTGTAATATTGAGTCTACAAATGGGGTGACACAGGTGTCAACTGTAAACTTAGTGTCATCAGCATGGGTTCAAAGATATGAGGCTGATGGCATTTAAATATATAAGGCTGAATGAGACGCTTAGGTAAGGGAATGGCTCTATGGACAGAACCCTGGGGCCAGCTAGTGTCTAGAGGTCAAGAGGAGAAAGATCAAAAAGAAAACTGCTATTTAAAGAACACTCTTATTAAAAAGGAGCCTACCTTTGTTGGAAGACGATTCTCCAAATATCTCTCACATTTCTGCCCATCTTGTAAGCAAAGGCAGTGACTGCCTGTTTTCTGGGTTATCTTTTTAAGCGTGTTTGTAAAGTGAACAGCTTTTGAAGGTAGAGATGATGTCTCTCTTCGGATTAAGGGGCAGATTTGCTTACACATCAGGAAGATAGAGCGTCACCCTCCGGAACCAGAAGCAGCACAATCAGTGCCTATATTATAAAAGATTCAGCTTCCCTAGAATTGGGGTTTCTAGTTTCTCTCTTGTAACACAACTCACCACAAGTGCAGGTGTCACCTCTTCCCATTTGGATCACCCTCTGGGAATTCGCCTTAGGAAACTGGTGAAAGAAAATGCTGCCCCTCAGGCCACTGATATTGCTGTGAATCCTTCGTATCTGACCCAGGAATCTCCTAACTCTGCTAGCATCTATGAATCTGTGATTATCTAACTTGTCTGGCTAAGCAAGTAAAATCTCAAGCCCTTCACAGTTCTTGACAATGTCCTACGTAAAACTTCTCTTTTTCTATAGACTAAATATTCAATTTTCTAATCTCATTTTGGAAGACAGGAAGTCCTAAGACTGCCTGAAGTGCCTTGGTGTGAACAGCACTGTCCTGAGCTCCTTCCTCAGGTCCTGGGTTGCTGGCTGCTCACCACCCCTTCTTACAGCTACTGTCAGACAGTTTGGATGAGCTGGGACCAGGGAGGTCTACATGCCTCTCCATCTGTCCACTCCCTAGAACCTTCTCTGAGGTTCCTGCTGCCATCGAAAGCTCTTCCTCCTGGTAATATGGTTACACTGCCTCTTCCAACCTGTATTGCAGTTAAGAGAACCTCAGTGACTTAGCTCTTGCCAATGGAATGTGAGTGGGAGTGACATATACCACTGTCTGACCATCTCCATGCCCCTCTGCTAACCAACCGGATGCAGGTAGCAACAACAATATGTCACTCAATGTGACCTTCAGTTTAAATCAGGACCTTGTACTGTCCCAAGTGCAGAATTCCACCCTGTTCCTAAAATTATAATTGCACTGCTTTATTTGCTCTCCCTCCCCGTTTGCAGCCACTTCCTTATTTCTAAGCCTTTGCACCCATTGGTGGGCCTAGGGGCCCTTGCCTCCTCCTGATTCCTCTCAGTTGGCTTACTCACTATCTAGGTCTCAGTGTAGACATTCACTGGAACTTTCCAGAAGAGGACCTTTATGGTTTCTCCAGGCTTCTCTTCTGAGACTTCCCCCAAGATAGCTCCTTTCCCTTTCCTTGCAATTGCCTAATCCTAATCCTTCCCTTGAGAGAGGGATTTCTCCACAAGACTGCATTTATTGAATTCTTTGTAGGTATTAGGCACAGACTGTCTTAGCTGTCCTTATACATATGTCTTTTAATATTTGAAAGGGGGTAAGGGATGGAGAAAGAGAGGGAAAGAAACATCAACCTGTGAGAGACATTGAGGAGTTGCGTCTCACATGCCCCCAACAGGGACCTAGCCCACAGCCCAGGCACGTGCCCTGACCAGGAATCGAACTGGTGACATTTTGGTTCACAGGCCAGCACTCAATCCACTGAGCCACACCTCCTTATATTCCCAGCAAGCAGCATAATGCTTGGTACTTTGTATTTAAGTATTCAATTGATGTTTCCCAAGTAAATGGATCAATTTTGTCTTCATTGTCTAGTATTTTACCTGTTACAAAACAAGTACTCCATGAATATTTAGTGTATAGATGGTTAAAAGAATAAATGGTTTCAGAAGGTATATAATGCATTTAGGGGAGAGAAAAGGTGTTCCTCACTCGGGTTGCAATGAGAGCTGAAAAAAGTCTTAAAATGCAGTGTGGAGAAAGGCAGCTGAATTCAAGAGAAAACACAAAGTAGAACAATGCTACAATTAAACATCCACCCACTCTGTTTTCCCGTTGGCACCGTGCTGGATAATTTGCACCAGACTAAATGGCAGAGGGAAACGGTCTATCTCCAGAAGCTGTGGTGCCTGGTGCCCTCTCCTGGAAAGTACCTGTCCATGCCTCTTTTGTTCTATGAGCTGATCAGCACCCGATAAAGCACCCGAATAAAAACTGTATCCCCTTATCCAAGCCAACCAGATTAATTACCTCTGCGTGTGTGTGTGTGTGTGTGTGTGTGTGTACACATACATAACTTGAAACCAGAAATACAGATCAAAATCAGGGTTTGGGTCATTGGGTCTGAAACTGGCCTCGAAAGAGGACATGAGCTCAGAGGGAACATGATGCTTTGTGAGTGAACCTGTGTTAGGAGGAATCTGTAGCTACGAGGATTCAGAAGCCCAGGCTCAGGGAAACGATGATGAGTAGATGAGGTGGTGGATGGAGAGCACCCACAACAAAAGCAGCAGAGAAGGAAGGGGCTCTGAGCCACTTGAACTGAGGAATGCTAGAGTCAGACCCACAAACTCACTCCGTTGACGTGACAGAACATGGCCCAGGCTGAGGGCTGCCTTGGACCCTCAAATACCCTTCCAGATCAGATCTTTCTGAGGCTGGCTCTTTCCGAGTTTCCCCAGCATCCTGTCTTTTTTAGAGCAATATGTATTCTTGCAACAAATTGCCATCACTTGTGGGTCATTGAAGGGGTCTCTATACGCCTTAAAACCAAGAGATCCCAAGTCATACAATCTATATTTTTAGGTAGGCTGCTGAGGCCCAGAGGATAGAATGCTGCCTTCTATATGAGGGTCTGACTCTTCTCAGAGAGGCTGACTTTTTTTCAAAGCGTCTGACCTGGGGGCAGGTGAACTCAGAGTACCTCACAGCTGGGAAAGCTGCACCTCCTGCACTCTGACTTTCAACTGGCCTTCACTTCTGAGATGTAGAAATGTAAAATGACAACAAACTCACAACTATCAACAACCAAACCTGAAAACAAAAACGAACTAAGCAAACAACTAGAATCGGAACAGAATCACAGAAATGGAGATCACATGGAGGGTTATCAGTGGGGATGGGGAGGGAGGATGGGGGAAAAGGTACAGGGAATAAACAGCATAAATGGTAGGTACAAAATAGACAGGGGGAGGTTCAGAATAGTATAGGAAATGGAGAAGCCAGA